AAGGGTGTAGAGTTACACTCAAGCGATTTTAAGGCATGAAGAAAAAAAATTAAAGGAAAAAACGTTTAAATATGTCATTTTGATGATCAAAGATGAGTTTAAAGGGATAAAATTATTGACTACAGGGGGACTTTAAGTAACTTCTGATCTTAGATCTGTTTTGGTCACTGTGGGTGAATCAGCGCCATCAGAAATATCCTGTCGCTTCTCTAAGAAAACTGATCAAACAGACGTGGAGGTGGACGGTTTGAAGGCAAGTTCAGGCGTGACACTGCATGTAAGATATGGACTGGTGCAGAGAAACAGAATGAGAAAGACGGGAGCTGATGCAGGGGTCAGCGGGGGTCTGTCTGGTTGTTGGTTTGTTGAAAGTCAATAAAATTTTCGCTGCAGGAGTTACAGCATCATGATAAGGAGAGCTCCAGACTGCTGTTTACTGATACAATGTATCAAATAGGCCTAGTAATTAAAACTAAATCAGACGCCTGAATGCACAAGCACTTATTTATATTGCTGCTGATCGGGGTGGATAATTTGTAATTATGTCATTTTTCAAAGCAGTTAAAAAAAAGTAAAACAAATTGCAACCTAAAATAGAACAAGTCAGACTGCCAAAAGAAAGAAAAAAATCAATACAGTTTTCCGGTAAACCATCTAAAAATGCTTAGAACAAGATATATTTAATAAAAAAAAAAAAAAAAAATAGAGACAGCTGATGCGAGCTTGACTAACATGACCTGCCAGAACTGACGCTAAGCTTGATTTTTTGGGTGAACTATCCCTTTAATTGTCCTCACCTGCACTGAAAAAAATGATACTTTGGACCAACCTAAAAAATTACTGTAATTTGTTACAACTAAATTTATTAGTCTTTCTCAAGCTATATTTTTTATTTGGTTTAAACTTTAATTTTTAATTTAATAGCAATCAAAATAGTTATTCTGCTCAACAAAAAGTTAAATGACTCCGAAGCAGTGTTAAAGTTAATGAGATAATTAAGTGATTAATTGAGTGATGATTGAGCATTATTGAAGACACCTGATGTTAACAAGCAGAATCACTGAAGGAGAAAAAAAATAAAAAATAAGTCACCGTTATGGTGATCAGTGTGTGTTTTAGTTGGACTCTTGACCCTTAAATCATTAACTTTTAATGTTGTTTGGCTGCTGACAGCCAGATAAACAACTTGAAAAGGTGATCTGATGGTGTTGGTTGAGTTTTAACATAATCATTATTTCACAATCATTTGACCTAAATCAACTCATATTGAGTCCCATTTAGGTTTACTTTATTAATTTTACCAGCACTGGCCTTGTTCAGCATAATATTTTTAGCCTTTTCAATGCAATCCAAATTATCAATTCAATAAAAAGAAAACTTCAAAACCACTTATGTTGGCACACACAGACATCAATAATTAGCATATGAATCTCAGCAATGGTGACAAACAGATCACCTCTGAACACAAGCTCATTATTTATTCATGCAGCAATGCATGCTGGGAGCCATGAATGAGTTTTGATTGGTGGCACCCAGAATGCACTGCAACATGCTTATTATTGTCACCATTGATGAGATTCACAGGCTGATTCTAGATGTCTGTGTGTCTAAAAACGAAATAGAATCAATAAATTATTTATTGTACATGAGACATGTTTAAAAAAAAATTTGGATTTCATTGTAAAAGGTAAAAATATTATGCTGTACAAGGCCAGTGCTGCTATAATTAATAAAGCAAACCTAAATTGGACTCAATATGAGTTCAGTGATTCAGGTCAAATGATTGTGAATCAGATCACCTATTCTAGTTGTTCATCTGGCTGTTATAACTCACGTACAGCAGGCAAACAACATCTAAAGTTAATGATTTAAGGGTCAAGAGCCCAACTAAAACACAGACTGATCTCCATAACGGTGACATAAAAATTCCGGTTTTCTCCTTCAGAGATTCTGCTTGTTAACATCAGATGTCTTCAATAATGCTCAATCATCACTCAATTAATCACTTAATTATCTCATTAATTATCTCATTAACTTTAACACCGCTTCAGTGTTACTTTAACTTTTTGTTGAGCAGAATAACTTGATTGATATTAAATTAAAATTTAAAGTTTAAACCAAATCAAAAATATAGCTTGAGAAAAAATAATAAATTTAGCTGTAACAAATTACAGTAATTTTTTTTAAGTTGGTCCAAAGTATATTTTTTTTGTGTTTGTTATTTGCTTTAAGGAAAACTGAACAAAACAGGTTTAAATCAGAAACTGTGATTTTCACTTTAGGCCAATATAAAAATGCACTTTAAATGAACTACACAGTATTTTCACTTTTTTCAGTGGGGAGTAAACATTATTATAAATACCCTAATACTACTTGACACCATTATACTACACAAAATAATAAAACAGGCAAGGTCACAACCTCAAGGTTGAGAATCTGTGCTTTAACCAACCTACATGAAATATATTTTTTGCTAGACTATTTTTAAATCGATTTGGTCTGAACTGACCTGTGCAGATTTAGTTTATTGATTTGTGTCATGCTGTCAAAGTCTGGCAGACTCATAAAATGCCATATCTGTGCACACCTATGAACACAGACACACAATATTCCCTTCAAAACTGTAAAAACAAATGAATGACAGAACTGCTCACTGTTCATCTCTGGACCAGGTGTTTTCGCAGATAAGACCTGAGGAGGTGTGAGAACACGAAAGCATAGGCCTAGATGAAAAAAAGATTTCTCAATCAAAGGTTCTGCAATGAGATTACTTATTAAAAAAAAAATCAGGACATGGCAGTATTGATCATTTTAGATATTCAGTTCAATATATAATAACAGTTATAGCCTAAAAATAGAGAGATGATGAAAATGGCATCATGCACATTATATTGAAAATACAAAGGAAATTAAACGTGGATACAGATTTTTTTATTTTAGAGTACCAGAAACATTCCCTCATTCCCAAGTAACTACGTCCTAATTAGTTATGTCCTCAAACAGAAGGTGAAGTATCCCTGTTCTAATTTAATCAAAGCCTGTTTCTAAACAGTAATTACAGCGATTAAGAAAATTAACTGTGTTTGAGGGGAAAAGGAAGAGGTTTTCTTCACTGCTCTCGGCTGATTACAAGCCACTTTTAGAGCTGACTGGCAGCCAAATGTTACACAGTTATTCCTGCACTGTAATTACTCAGAGTTAAAACCCACTGCTTTTGTACTGCATCCTCAAAATGGTGGAAATAATCACAGAGGTAAGCATAATGGCTTCTAATGGTCATAAAAATTGTTAAATAATAGATTAAGGATCAATACTTTGCTGGTTAGCATGGTTCAGTTAGCCCCTGCTGGTGGCAGTCATACCTACGCTCTCTGACTGTAAAGAACATCTTTCTCAATTACTTAAGTTAAGTATATCTAAGTGTATGTGTATATATCATCAGAGGAAGGATATATGAAATTAAATGAAATAAGTCTGATCTGAAATGATATATAGGCCTATGACGAAACAGCATGCCACATAGACAAACACAAGTGTTCCCCAACAAGATTTTAAATGATTGTGATCATAGTCTGACTAATAAATTCATCGTTGTAGTTCATAAGGACTCTTGAAAACTTATGAGAGTGCATGGTGGTAACTTCATCTCTGCTGTGTGTTTACAAGGAAAGAAAACGATTCCATGCGGTGTAAACAGTCTTAAAAAATACATGCAATATTTTTTTAGGACTTTAGGTTACTAATTAATGTACCTTATTTAAAAAAAAATAATAATAATCGTTGTGCAGCAGACAGGTTTTTGCATATCATAATTTTCAAGGAACTTTGGTGAATAAATTGTGCTTCTAATCTCTTACGTTCTAAGTAGCCCATGGTTTTTATGTTCAATGTACACCGGCTGGTGTGTGAGACTGGGATTTAGTTTGACAGGAACTTTCAGTGCCCCCTGCTGCCTTTAAATACTCACAAAAGTTTTTGAAGAACTCCTGGGGACTTGAGTCGGACAACTCTTTTACTGGATTACCGGCTAGATTCACGCAGGTGACACAACGCGTAGATAAAACATTCAAGACGTCTGGATTAGTGGATTCATATCATCATTTTGTTATCAAAGTACTTGAAATCTGCAGTGAAGAACTTTGAAACCCTACTGAAATGAATATGAGTAGCTATAACCTACCTGCAGATATTAGCTGCTAATAAAATAATCTTCTTTGACTGTTTGACACACTAAAAAGTTCACAAAAGCAGAAATCTGAAACTTCAAATTACAGATAAACACTTTGGAAAACTTTGAATGTGCCATTTTAGCGTTGATTATGCTAGATGAGCTATTTCACTTTGAAATTAGAAACTGGCATTAAAGTTTTCCTACATGTGATGCAACATAAATATATTTTTGCATGTCTGTATAAAATAAATGTTTTATTTTAAAATAAATATCAAATTACTTTTACATTCAATTTTATTCCTAAAAATTTCGGAAAAGCTGCAGTTTATAACACTTACATTTGACACCACTATAAAATCAAGAGTCTCTTCTCGTAGTTGAGTCTCTCTGCGTCCTCTCCAGTGGGTTTACACCATTTTGTTTGCAGCTCATCAACATAAATGTACACTCCATTTCATTCTGTTACGCTACAGGTTGCGATAGTAGCTAGTGCATTCCTCAGCCTCTTGAATTGAATTTTTTAGAGTGAGTAACATTACATATGCATTATATAACATAATTCTATAGGTTTGCATTGATTTGAATTACTTATTACATTTCACATCCACACTATCATCATAATATTTTATTTAATTCAGCCAGGAGGTCCATTTTAATTGAACACGTTTAGATATATCAAGACAGTACAGCAAAGGAAAAATAAACCACAGAGATATATTTGCGAACAATTTATCAAGTACAAATACACAGTGAATCCAGACAATGTTGTCAAAAGAGCAGACGCCACGCCACCCTAGAAATGACCCACCAAGTTGTTCCCTGTAACAATATTAATCTATGTGCATTTGTATGTAGATCACCCTGATGAGTTCAGACAGACCGCTGCAGTTCAACCTCTGAGCCGTAGACGACGGATAACTCTGATAGTTGTTTTAGTTTATCCTGCTTTTCCTGATGTTCCAGACATCTTGTTCTACAATCCCAACAGCTTACAGCAGCAATGACAACAACGCTGAGGGATACGAGCAGAACTAAAGCTGAAAACTAATAAAACACACAAAAATGTATATAAATTATTTTTATACGTAAATAAATATTAAGACTATAAAGCTGTATAAAACATTATCATTTTTATTTATATAAAACCAGTACACTCACCCTTGAGTAGAAAATGAGTTTTTCGGTCAGTTCTCGCAGGTCTGTTGCGTTCACTCCAGCGTCCTTCAGTCCAGTGGGTTTGCACCATTTTATCTGGAGTTCTTCATCCAAGATGTAATCTCCTTCCCAGTGTACCATGCCACAAGCGACATATTCCCCCTCAAACAACAACAGAAAGACCCACAATGAAGGTGGAATCAGACAAAGTAAAAAGAGCCCAGCACAATGAGAAGATGACCGTCTGCAAGGCCTTTGAATGAATATCATCACAGCCAGAGCCAGAAAAACAGGTCCAAGAAAGATGAAGCTGATCAGTGTCATGTTAAACCCAGGAGAACATGGGCAGGAAAATTCCCGATCCATCAACTTCTGCAGTCCAATTAACGCAAAGCAAAAATGCAATACACCGAAAGAAGCTGTGCTTCTTTCTAGTCTTTCTGGATTGTTTGAAAACAACCCAAGAAACACCATTTTTTTATGAACAAGGTGAAACAGCCCACTTTAAAGATCACTGGCTTACTTTAGATCCACTGAAGAACTGAGACCTTTTAAACAGAACAGAAAATTAATATCTGTTCACCGAACAATGTGTAGCAGCGGAACTCATATCCTACAGCAATTTAGGATCTTTATTATTAACTATTTGCAAGGTCATTTATCATACAATGAGACAAAGGACAATGAAAAAGGACAGTAGAAACTAATTATGGGAATAGGACTCAACTCCTTTCTTTTAGTAATTTAGATATGCTCCATTGAACAAAATTCTATGAAATTCATCAGAAGTAAATGAAATCTTGTTTGGCCAACAAAATGAAAACAAACAGCAAGTATTGTCCCATATCATGGCACATGACAATGCCATACAGCAAATATTTACACTAAATTTAGAGGACATTAGATTAAGTGTTACTGGCTTCTCACATTGAACAACTACAAAGGTTGCATAAACATAAGATATAAAACTGAATAAATATGTTATGTAGTACAAAATAAAACATAGTTGTACTATTAAAAAAAGAACCAGCTCAATCCAAGCTGTATTTTGACAATGCTAGCACAGTCTCAGTATAAAAAAAAAACTTTTTTTTTTTTTTTTATACTGAGACTGTGCTAGCATTGTCAAAATACAGCTTGGATTGCGCTGGTTCTTTTTTTAATAGTTCAACTATGTTTTTTTTTTCTAGATAAATCGCTAATAAAGTGATAACTATGTATGTAGGCTACATGTGTTGTTGATGCACATTCCCGTCACTGACTGAACATCTCGAGCATTTTAACGACTGTTTCACGCTTTTACCTCAATGTGAAATAATGTTCTCTCTGTTCATAATGTTCTCATTCATAAAGATGTTGTTTGGAAACTCTGAGTAAGGTAATACGAAGAGTTAAACATGTAATCTACTAAATCACATTATGCATTATACTGTTAAACAATAAATGAACTACAAGGCAAACAAAATAATAATTTGTACAGATTGTGGATCAGAGGAAACATTTCATGGTCCACTAGTTCAAAACGTAACTCACACACGAAAGACACGCAGCACCCCCAGTGGTGACCAGGGGAAGTACAACAATAGCCTTGTTATAATATTAGGTTATTTTACATAGCTAGCCTATAGTATTTAAGTAAAAAGTGTTTCAAGTGAATATTTTGTATTTAAAGCAGAACGATAATATTTATTGTCTGCCAGCAGTTATATTCTCAGACAACAAAACTCACTGAAACAAAAAAAACAAGAACAACAACAGAAATCAGTCTACTTTATTTGTGAACTTGTGTCTTACGCAACATATTCACACATGCCATATATATTTTTATATACCATGTGGTTGACAGGAGAGACAAGTGCTTGTTGTAACACTGGGCTTTTGTCACAATGTCAATAAGGTTTTGACTCAAAAGTCCAATTACACAGGACAAGGGTTTTCAAGTTTTTTTTTTTTTTCAAGGTTTACAAGTTTTTTTTCATAGTTATTTCTACCAGGTCTGGGAAAGTTTTCACCTGGCATATATTTTACATTTTTATTAAAAAAAAGTAAAAAAAGTAAAATAAAAAATACAATACTGGTTAGGTAAAATAGTGTCGGATTTACAAGTACCCCATGCACACCGTTTGACCATTTTAAACTTAAAATGACAAGAAAAAAAAACATAAAAAGGTATGGAAACTGACTAACTGCAATGCATTTTAATGGACGTGGAAGCAGAGAATGTCCGAGTGTATTGGGTTAGTTATGCACACTGTAGCTGTGTCCCAATGTGAAGGCTGCGTCCTCCGAAGGCCGCATTTGAAGGCCGATTGGCCGCATTTGAAGGCCGATTACGTCACAGCGGCGTGACGAAGGCTGTCCCAATTCAAAGGCTGCATCTTCGAAGGCCGCATTTGAAGGCCGATTGCGTCACCGCGGCGCGATGAAGGCTGTCCCAATTCAATTTCGCATCCTTCAAAGGCCGTATTTGAAGGCCGGTTGCGTCATCGCGGCGCGACGAAGGCTAGCCTGATTCAAAACACCAAGGCCCTGTCCCAAATGGAACCCTAAGCACTCGCGGTCTTCCTCTGAGTCCGCACTTTCGCGACGTAACGCCGCTTTGAATGTCGGGAAGAAGTCTGCTGTGGAGTCCGCATCAGCTTGGGCTCGGCAAAAGTGCGCATCAAGGGCGCAAATTGACCACGTGGGGGCGCTCGCGTGCACCCTTCTGAGATCTAAAAATGACAAATGGGACACACTGCGGTCTCACGGACTTAACGGACACGCGCACGCGGCAGCCATTGTAAGTCCACAAGACCGAAAGTGCTCATGAAGTGTGCGATTTGGGACAGGGCCCAAATGCACCCTTCGTTTCCCCGTGAAAGGAAGGATACATAAATGGACGCTTTGCGGTCTATCCTACCCGATCCTACCCCATAATTTATTGCGCGCCGGTGACGACAGCATTTTTGGTGCAGCATTTGGTGTGTAGCCAACAGTTCAAATTTAAATGTTGGTGTTCAACTATGCCTTTTGAATCCGTTCATTTTTCGTTTTTCAATTATGGGTTAAAAAATTAAAAACGAATGGATGCAAATTTACACAGACTATTAAACTAAAAATAGTTTAGTGATAGTTTTTTAGATTAAAGTCTTTGATTTTACTAGTATTGTGATTGACTATCAAACCTTTCTACAAATACATTATTTTAAATATTTAATAATATAAGGTAGCCTACTTTTGCGTCCATTTGTTTTTCTTTTTTTTTTAACCCGTAATTGAAAACTAAAAATGAAAGGTTGTTGTATTTTAAAAGCCAAAGTTGAACACCAAAATTTGAACTGTAGGCTACACAAATGCTGCAAAAAAAAAAAAAAAAAAGACTTTTTGCCCCTTTATTAAACATTTAAAATATTCACAAATTACTATGGGACAAATGTCGATTTTACTGGTTTTCTAAGACCAGATTAGAACCTGGAAATTATATTTTTCCCACAATGCTGAATGAGAAGAGCCATGTCTCTGGAACCATGATTTACAGGCTAATGATAATAAATGTGTCTGAATAAATAACGAGGCATGTTAATTGTTCGTTTAAAAGTGAACATTTCAAGCTTTAGGTATATTTTGTTTCAGTTCATTTATGAGACGCGCTCCAGTTCACGGAGATCATGAAAGCGCGACTGATTGCAAGCCCGTAGGCAGGGGGGGTTCGGGGGGTTCGAACGAAGCCAAAGGTCCAGAATTTAAGTCGTTTAAAAAAAAAAAAAAAATGTTTATGTGATTATTGTCATCATTGTTTTAATCAATGCTTGTGACAAATATTCTTGGTTGCTGTTTCAAATTAATATGATTATTGTGTAGCTGGACGTGTGCGCCGCGCGTGCAGTTCAGAGAGAGTTCTCGCAATACACTTTTCAAACCAACGGTGAAGAAGCATCGCATCTGAATGATACGGCTGGGGATCGAGTCCAAAAAGAATCGATTCCTCGATTCCGAGGCGTTGGGAATTGAGAGTCGATTCCAAAGGTTCAAAATGCAATGGTTGGAATCGATTCCGGGGAATGATCTTACTCGTTGTAGTTTAGGACAAGTAATAAATCTGATTTATGAAATCAATCGACAAAAACAATCAAATTAACTTTTAAGTTATTAAATTCAAGTTCACGCAAACGTTTCCGTCTGCTGCGGCTGTCTGTCATTCATTCTCCATTCAGCGTTCAAACAGCGCGTTGCGTTCGGTTACGACAGTCAACATGATGAAACTCCCTCCAAGATGATTCACTGTTACTATTATTAGGCTATACTTGATCTGTAGATAAAGCTCTATGGTTTCGCATAAAATGACTATATTGCTGGACTGCATTGCTGTATCTTAACCATGTTCCTTTGTTAGAACACAGGAGAGCACTATCATTCTTCACGCGCACAGTAACTGACATTTAAAACTGTTAAAAGAAAAGGCTCAATAAACTATTTTATAGATAGACGGCAAAAAATGCATCTCAAAATGCATCAGATTGATGCTTTAAAATATGGAATATTTAAAATTTTCTCACGGGGGAGCATGCCCCCGGACCCCCCTAGAGGGGTAATATCCTTCTCACCTGGGGGAGGAGTTTTATATATATATATATACACTCACCGGCCACTTTATTAGGTACCCCATGCTAGTAACGGGTTGGACCCCCTTTTGCCTTCAGAACTGCCTCAATTCTTCGTGGCATAGATTCAACAAGGTGCTGGAAGCATTCCTCAGGGAGTTTGGTCCATATTGACATGATGGCATCACACAGTTGCCGCAGATTTGTCGGCTGCACATCCATGATGCGAATCTCCCGTTCCACCACATCCCAAAGATGCTCTATTGGGTTGAGATCTGGTGACTGTGGAGGCCATTTTAGTACAGTGAACTCATTGTCATGTTCAAGAAACCAATTTGAAATGATTAGAGCTTCTTGACATGGTGGAAGTAGCCATCAGAGGATGGGTACATGGTGGCCATAAAGGGATGGACATGGTCAGAAACAATGCTCAGGTAGGCCGTGGCATTTAAACGATGCCCAATTGGCACTAAGGGGCCTAAAGTGTGCCAGGAAAACATCCCCCACACCATTACACCACCACCACCAGCCTGCACAGTGGTAACAAGGCATGATGGTTCCATGTTCTCATTCTGTTTACGCCAAATTCTGACTCTAACATCTGAATGTCTCAACAGAAATCGAGACTCATCAGACCAGGCAACATTTTTCCAGTCTTCAACTGTTCAATTTTGGTGAGCTCTTGCAAATTGTAGCCTCTTTTTCCTATTTGTAGTGGAGATGAGTGGTACCCGGTGGAGTCTTCTGCTGTTGTAGCCCATCCGCCTCAAGGTTGTGCGTGTTGTGGCTTCACAAATGCTTTGCTGCATACCTCGGTTGTAACGAGTGGTTATTTCAGTCACTGTTGCCCTTCTATCAGCTCGAACCAGTCTGGCCATTCTCCTCTGACCTCTGGCATCAACAAGGCATTTCCGCCCACAGAACTGCCGCTCACTGGATGTTTTTTCTTTTTCGGACCATTCTCTGTAAACCCTAGAGATGGTTGTGCGTGAAAATCCCAGTAGATTAGCAGTTTCTGAAATACTCAGACCAGCCCTTCTGGCACCAACAATCATGCCACGTTCAAAGTCACTCAAATCAACTTTCTTCCCCATACTGATGCTCGGTTTGAACTGCAGGAGATTGTCTTGACCATGTCTACATGCCTAAATGCACTGAGTTGCCGCCATGTGATTGGCTGCTTAGAAATTAAGTGTTAACGAGCAGTTGGACAGGTGTACCTAATAAAGTGGCCGGTGAGTGTATATATACTGTATATGTATTTTTTTATTATTTTTTTTATTAAAAGGATTTCTATATTTTATCCACTCAATAGACTACAATATAATAGCCATATAAACGTAGAGTAATTATAATAATAAAAT